TATCTTTTATATTGTTATGATGTCTCTTGTCTTATAGAAGTTTAAAACCTTTTTTAAATGTAGTCATGTGTCAATCTTTCCTTTTATGGTTTGTGGGTTTTGTATCTCATTTAAGAAATCCTTCCCTATTCTGATGCCAATATATTTATTACCTTATATTTTCTTTGAACAATTTTAAGTTCTGTTTTTCACACATTTAAGCTATCTGAAAGTTATTTTGGAGTATGTTGTAATGTGTAGATCTATTTTTTTCCATTTGGATAGCCAATTAACCCAAGACAATTTAACAAACAGTCTACCCTTTCCCACTGATTTGTTATTTTTGTGATATGCCAAGTTCTCATATCTTTAAGGGTCTGATTCCAAGAAGTTCTACTCTGTACCAGGGACCTATTTATTTGTCCATGTGCCAGGACTACAATGCTTTAATCACTCTAACTTTAGAATAAAGTTGTGATGTATGGTAAGGCAAGTACAATGGTATTCTCCCATTTCTAATTTGTTTTGACTTTTCTTGGCCACTTACTTTCCTGTAAGAATTTTAAGAACAGCTTGTCAAGTTCCATAAAAAATCTCAGAGTTTTGATTAGACTTGTACTGAATTTATAGATCTGAGAAAAATCACCAGCTTTATATTAAATTTTCCTTTTCATGAGCATGTCATATATTTGCATTCTTTTATGTCTTTTCAAAATGTTCTCTAATAAAGTGCTATAATTTTCTCCATAAAGATCATGCAGAAATTTTGTTATATTTATTCCTAAGCATCTTATAGTTTTTGTTGCTATTACAAATAGTATTTTATGAAAACAAAATCTTCTATTTATTTATTGCTGTGTTATGGGCATATCGATGTTTGTATATTCATCTTTTTTCCCAGAAAGGGGTACATTAGTTCTGTTTGTAGGTTTTCATACATTTTCTTTGTAAATAATCATCTATGTAATAGTAATGGCTTTATTTCTTTTTTTTTCTAAATGCACTAGTTTAGACACCCCCAACACAAAGTGAATAGAAACAGTAAAAACTAGTGTCCTTGTATTCACACTGGAAGTTAGTTTCTATTCCTAGTTAGCTAGAGTTTTAATAAGATTTTATTTTATTTTAGGGGAGGCAACCCTTGGTTGACCTCACAGATTGCAAGGACCTTGTCAGCTTACAATCCCTTATTTTTTATTTTTTATGCCTATAGCACCTGGTCTTCCTAGGTGGTCTCCCATCCACGTACTAACCAGGCCCGACCCTGCTTAGCTTCCGAGATCAGACAGGATCGGGCATGTTCAGGGTGGCATGGCCTTAGACAAGATTTTTTTTAATCATGAATTAATGTTACACTTTATCCAATGCATTCTCTGTACTTACTGGGACAATCACGTTTTTTTTCCTTTTACCCAGCCAATGTTGTAAATATCATTAATGGACTTTTAAAGCAGAACATCCTAGCATTCCTGGAATAAACACTTGCCATGCATACACATGCACATATATACACATGCAAATATACACACACTTGCATGAACTCTACTGGATTCAATCTGATAATATTTTATTTAGGATTATTTAGTCTTATAAGTGTGATTGGCCCTCTTTTTCCATTTTCTGGAACAGTTTATATAAATAAATAAACAATCCTCTTAAAAGTTGGCAGAATACATCTATAAAACTAGGTACTGTGTGTGTGTGTTTTTAGCTTCTAGTTCAATTTATTAGAATTTATAGATCTGTTCAGGTTTTCTGTTTCTTCTTGAGTTGGCTTTGGCTGCCTTTCATTTAATTTCTCTACCTCTTTAGGACCAAGACTTCACCTCCTGTCCCTGGGCAGCTAAAACTCAGGCCCTTAGTTAACAGAACCAATTCTCTCCCAGTCCCCCTACTAGTAACTATAGCTCCAGTCAGCTCATCCACTGGCGTTCAGCTTCCTCTTTGTCTCCAGCACCTGGGATTTTACCTTCCTTTTGAGAACTCAGTCATAGGTTTAATTTTTTCCATATTTTATCCAATATTTCTAAGTAACAATGCTTTTAGATTTTTCTAATTCCTCCATCTTGCTTGATTCTGAAGTTGTTCCCGTTTCCTAGATAAGAAAGCTAGGGTTCAGAGTGGTTTAGCAGCCTGCTGAAGCTCACACCACTAATACTTTTAACCTTGTTATTGAACTCAGATATTCTGGTTTCTCAATCCTGTGTTGTTGCCACATTATTCCATGCTACCTTCTAAAGGCTGAAATAGGTAGCCCCCAGCCCCAAATCCTGGTACACATGCATCCATTCAAACAATATTTCAACTCAGTATAGAGTATTCGATTCTAGGTCCAGGGCATGGCAAGAGTGAGCATGTGCAATCATGGCCCCTGCCTTCAGGGAACTTACCTTCTATAGACATAAATCAAATAATCACCAACAAATGTACAACTACAACTGTGCTACATGCCTCCAAGGAAAGGTACACCTTGGTGTGGGAGCTCAGAAAAGGAGAATCTGCGCTTGAAAGGAAGGTTATGGTACCTTCTTTGAGGGTGGAGTAAAGGAGCTGAGATCTAAAGAATGAAGAGAAGCTAACTAAGAGAGGAATGGAAGGAGTCTTACAAGCAGAGGGTCCAGCTCGCAAAAAGGCTCTCTGTGGGAGGAAGCACATGCAGCCAGGAAGTGAAGCACTATAGAGTGAAGGGGAAAGTGAGAGGTGGGAGATGAGGCCAGAGGGGAGGGCAGGGCCACACCTCTCAGGGCCTTTGAGGCCAAGTTAAGGACTTGGGTCTTTAACTTAAGATCAATGGGAAACCATTGAATGGATTTAAGCAGAGTGCCTGAAACAATCAGATTTGCATTTCAAAAAGGTCTCTTATTCTGGAGTGCAGCCTCTCCAGCCATTATCATCAGCTATCACAGATTCAGAGGAAAGCCACGTGGTCCAGGAGGTGGCTAGACCAGGGAGGTGGAGGATAGAGAAAAATGGAATTGATAGGATTAGATGCTGGATTTAGTATTGGGATACTCACCATGAACACCCTTAGATCAAATCCTTGGAAGGCAGAGGCCACGTCATATGCTTGTGTGTAATACCCAGGTGCTAGAATAGTCCCTGACATGTGATGGACTCAATACATATTTCCTGAAAGGATGAAACTGAGTAAGTCTCCCAAGTCATTCTTTTACCTGTAAGAGTCTTTAATTTCTTCCTGCCCAGGTGTACCTGACTAGTATCAACCTTTCTTTTTCCATCTTGCTCTTCTACATTGTCATTCTCCTGTGTCTCATGTCTCTCATCAAAATAGTCAAGTTCCCTTTTCTCTACTTTGTTTCTCTCACTTTGCCTAACCCATATATGCAGGCTCAACTGAGAGAGGCTGAAGTACTTGGGGAACTAACCCAAGAAAGCTGAGAGTGGAACAGAATCTGAGCTGCCCCCGCTCCTCCTACACCTCCTCTGCCAGCACTGTAGAAGAATGCCTGCTCAGGTAGGGTAGTTATTTTTTTCTTGGGGGGTGGGTAGAGAAGAAATACCTAGGGCGACCCTCATGTGTCTCCCTCATGGTGTCACCTGATTAAACAGGCATGTCTGCGAAGCTAG